TTATATATATATATATATATACACACACACACAGCACACATAAAAGTCACATGACATTTGTTAGAGTGGGTTGGATTTTTGAACGAACAGTTAAAAGGCAGCTAGATTTAAAGGGATTGTCATGGAAAAATTTACTTTCTCTCATTCATGATGATGTTTGAAGAATGTCCTGGACTTGCTTTTTTTTATAACATACAAACAAATAGCAAAATACAAGCACATAGTCCAATTTTATTGTAGAAGCTCAAAAGTCATATGGACAAATTTACTTGCCTTTTTTTTGTCCATTTTGGCAACTCTTTTGAGAGAAAGTATGGACTGCACTTTGTGTTTCACAGAAAGAAAAGCAAACATGTTTGGAACGACATGGGAGAGAGTAGATGATGACAACATTTTTATTACTAGGTGAACTGGTCTTTTAAAGGTTTGCAACCGTATCCGTGGCTACTGCGGCGTCTGCTTTAACCTGAGCTTTGTTGTGTTATAGTGGAACACGTGTTCGAGCAACTGCCCATTAACCTGTGTGATAAAAAAACTAAAGTGCTGAACAGAACTGGTCTTTGCCTGAGCCGCTGAAACCAAAGACGGTTTGTGTGAAGGCAAAGGTCAGAGTCACACCCACACCTACTGGGTTTAAAACTAATGCGTCCACACACACACAAGCACACTGCCTACAAGTCACATGTATACAGTCTTGATGGGAAGCATTAAAGTCAAAATAGACACTAAATACTATCTTAATACATGTTCCTGGTGTTAATATGTAAAATTAATCTGTGAACATTATTCATCAAGAAAAGTTTGTAATCTTTCATCAAAATGTAAAAACATGCTCCACTTTTAAATTGATTTTCCATTGTGGCTGACATCATCAGTCCCTCTTATTTTTAAGCCCCTCCCCTCCAACCACTCGTCATATTCACCTTATTTTTCCCGTTAAGAGCGGGCACAGCCATTTGTCAATTTAATGTGTCTGGCTTCCTGTGTCATCTGCTTCCAACTATTTTTAGCTGTACAAAACAGCTCGTTTTGCTGCTTGATATTGCAAACTGGTCTTTCTTACCATATTATTGCAATATGTTATCTTAATTATAAATACACTGGGTTGTAGCACAAACAATACCACTGATTCCTAATGAAGAAAATTACGTTTGATCTCATTTGCTATGTTTCCATCCAAAGTTGCCGATTTAACTTATTCACAAAATTACAATATCGCATAAAACATTTGCAAATAAAACTGTTTGCATCCCATGTGTTCAAGACAAAAAAAAATTGCCACTTCCAGCGAAACTGGCACAAAGTATCAATAAAAAATTATTTTGTTAAATGTGTTTCCGTCGTTGTTTATGCACATGTTTTCTTACCGGATAAAGACATTTTTATTCGCATTATGTGTTTGTTTTTTTTGTTCATTTTTTTTAATGCACATTTTTTAAATTTATGAGCATCTTGGAGTTTCTTTGTCATATCCCAAAATTCACATAAAATAGTTGGATGAAAACATAGCTATTGAATAACACAGTTTCATGTTGACTTTCAAGTCGTTTTTGTAGGCCTAGTTTATGTCAAGTTTATGTAATTTTCTGTTCTGATATTAGCACCAAACAAAATTCTTTACTCTTCAGGAAGTATTTGAACAAATTACAAAACATTTGAAGAAAAAAAAAAGTTTGAATTAATTCCCTAATTCCTGGTCCGGGATGTATTGCATTGAGAAGGGTGAGATCTGTACATTTACCAGTTTAGTAGCGGAGGAACAGAGGCCACTAACAGAAGCAGAAGAATCAATTATGAAGTGAGTGGAGATGGGAGGCGTCACATGAAGAGAAGTATGATGGGTTAATGGAGGTTTCCGTAGCAGAGGGTTGTGGGGTCATGACCTTTCTGCACTCTATTAGCTGAGTTCAGCTACACTGCTGGAGTACATGGGCTAACACACTCGCCCTGAACACATACTGTACACCTACACCCACAAAACTCTCATTAGTGCAACGCATCCAAATTCTCATTCTCAGTGAAGATATTAAAGAAATATTTAAACTGTAAAATATTTACACATCATTGATATGTTGTACTACATTTATGCAGTTTTTTTTATAAAAAAATTGAATTTGCCATTTTTATTATAATAGAGTGAAAATTATTGAATTACTGTTTTAGGAAAGAAAATATTAATAAAATGTGACAAATTAAGTCGTGGGACTGAATTCTTAAATTGTGGCTACTATATATATATATATATATATATATATATAATGTTGGATGTCATGACCTCTGTAATCGAAAAAAATATATATTTATAGATCTAGAAACTAGCTTCATTTTTTAAAGCTAAATATTGCATTTTTTCTTTGAACAACCATGTATCAAAGCCTCGGGCGACTGTCATGTGATTGTCAAGAGTACCTAGTGCCATAACGTCAATTAATTGAACAAACACACACACAATTGTCAAAAGCAGGAATGGGAGATGGATAGTTAACAAAGATCTTCAGTGTGTACAAAGATTTCATACTGGAGTAAAAAACAAAACAAAAAAACATCTCAGAAAAACCTCCAAAACCAATTACCCAGAATTCTCCATTCAGTCTCCATGTTATAGCTCTGTCTCTCGCCATTCAATATTATTGCTGTCACATAGTTTTTCCTACAGTTTTGATCTCTCGTCTCAGGAGTAGAAGGGGCGGCCCTTCTCAGGGGTCTGTAGACGGTTGAGCCGGGCGAGTTGGGTGGGCGAGGGTGGCACGTCTTGTCGGTAGGGGCCTTTGGGTGGAGCAGGAACAGGGGTTTGGCTTAGGGTTGGTGTCTCCTCCATAGTAGGTAGCTTGGTTTTAGCCTCCTGCTCCTTTCGTCTCTGTTCCTGTCTCAGGAGCTCTTGGGTCTCCAGGAGGACGCGAGCGTTCAGGCCCGTGGCGGCGGCACCCAGGTAGCCATTCGCAGTGCGGGATCCCTGGTAGCTGGAGTAGCGCGGGTTCTCTTTGGCGGACTGAAAGACCTTGCCGGGAGGATAGACTTTATCCCAAGAGTCTTGAGACACGGTGCTAGGGTTTTTACGTGGTTGTCTGTGTGGAAAAGAGAATGAAAGGTCAAAAACGGAGACCAAAACGGTAAAAGAAGGACCCGTGTCAAATCTAGACTCAAGAGTGGGCTCTTTTGACTTGGGCCAGTAAGTAACCACCTAGAAATCATACTGTAAAGCCCAAGTTTGCCACACACATCCTAGAAAATGAGGCCAAAATATTTTGATTGCCCCCTTGTGGCTGGCTGCAGTATAGGTCATAAACCCTGCCCTCTTCGAGATGTGAGCCAAACTAAAAAATCTAATTACTCTTCAATTAAATTTTACCCAAACATGGTTTCTGTCATTTAAGGTAGTTCTTATTACGCAGATGTATGTTCAAGTGTTTGTTTTTCTAATAAGTGTGGTTTTAGTTAGTTATTTGATGTTATAAAAACAGGGTGTGGCATCATGATTGTGAGTTTGTGGGAGTTTGGACAGGACCTCGATAATGTGGCTCCACTTTACGAATCCAAATGACGTTGTCGGCACAAGATGACAGCGGCCATTTCTGGGACATTTTAGCTTAATTTTTCTACATTAGGAAGGAAATAAAGATGTGTTGTCCATCTTTTCTTTACAGTCTACGGTGAAGCCTTAAACATCACCTACAATACGCTAACATTGTGGTGGCGAGCTGTCCAAGACAAGCGGCAGTCACATGTTCTCCAGAAAATGCAAAAATCTAGTTATGTGCTGTACACAAATGGTTAAACACTCTTTTTGAGACAAGCTAGCGTACTTAACATCAAGAAAGGAAATAACAGGTTCCTTCAATGTCCATCCATACCACCCAATCAACTACTGGACATCTGACAGACCGCCAGCGTTAGATCCCTTTCTTGCTTAAAGGAACGAGGGAAGAAATATCCAACCTACACATTTCTTTGTCAACATCGCAGCCATTGTGAGGGGTGTCCACTCAGACGGTGTCCATCTTCCCTGTGCTATGTTATTAGGATCCATTAAGTGGGAATGTGAAGAAGCTAACGTGCCACATTCCATTGCCTCGTGGGTAAATTAAGCCCCACTCACACCTCACTGGGTTTGCACGCTTAAAAGCATGCATGTAAGGGTGTATGCGCACACTTCTGTTGGGCTTCACACATGGAGTGCTTTCAAAAGAAGGCACACAAATGTTCTAGTATTGTCCAGAATTCAAGATGCGGTGGTGAAATAAGGCGTGTTTACATTGTTTGTCACTAGCATGATGCTAGCGTGATTGCTCGGTGGTTGTTTACTTGCCCAACTCTAAAAAAGCCCAAGAGTCTGTTTTATTATGAACCGTAGAAATTACTTGAGTCCCCTTTTCAATGTAAGTCACCAGTTTTATCGATCGCTAGGCAACAACTGTCCATTTGATTGCTAAGAAAAGTAATAGCACACCACTCTTCAACAAGCTGCATGATTTGAGGCATCATTCATTCAATATGAAACAAATTACCCTGGAAAATGTAATACTTATGCTTTGAGGTTTAGAACAAACACCTAACGTTTAGTATGAACAAATATAATAGTCATTTTTGCCCTGGCAATCACCACTGAAACTCATAGTTTCATGCACTATGGTCATATTGTTTGGATAATAAATAAAAAATCTGTGGGGTTTGAAAATGAATACAGATTACATTCAGGACAGATTGTGTAAAGCATATCATTTAAAGTCAAAGGCCATGAACCTAGTATTTTCAAATGCATGGAAAGTGAAATTGACTGGATGCCAATAAAACTGTGTTGATTACAGTACATTGTCGTATTTCATTTATCGGTAAGATGCATTTTGTTCATATAGAATGAATGCCAGCCATTCAACCTCATACTAAGAGCAGATCCCAGCAGAACACAGAAAAAACTGAGAGAAGCACATGGTACTTCTCACAAGAGCCAATGGTGTTAGGTAGAAAAAAATATTCTTAGGTAGAAAATAGCATCTTCATGCTCTTACAGTGACGTCTGCGTTGTTATTGAAACTATTGAGAAAATGGTGACTAATTATCACCTTAAAAACATATTATATGTAAAAACAGACAGCTAGAACGAAACTTGAGCTAAAATACACGATATATCTGGATTTGTTTTTTTTTCATGCCATATTGTGAATATAGTCAAGGCTAAAGGCTGTTGTTTGCAATTGCATAACAGTAAAACATGTCTTATTTTCAAGTTTAAAATACTCCTTTCCCAAGTTAATATATAGAGACAACTATAAGTACAACATTTGTAGATTCACCTCCTTGAAAAAATGTGAAAACACAGAATCTCGACCAGCCCAACATAGCAACAGCTCAACCAATGGCATGAGTTCGGGGCGGGGCTTTCTGTCTTTTCGACCAATAGCAGATGGGGAGACTATTTGTGAAACCTGTTTGAAAACAGTCATTATGTTTGCAATCCTGATGGCAGTGGCGCAAAAGCTACACACTTCACCTATAGATAAACTGATGTGAAATAAGTTTCATGCCATTTTGTGAATATAGTCAATGCTAAAGTACAACATAACAGTGAAATGTGTCATATTTCAAGTTTATGTATAGTATGTAATATGTAGAAACAACTGTAAGTAAAACCTTTGTAGATTTATTTGAAAGATTTGAAAGCACTGTGGTGCTATCTAAACACTTTTCTCAATGTTTGAGAATCTCGACCAGCCCAACACAGCAACAGCTCAACCAATGGCATGAGTCTGGGGTGTGGCTTTCTGTCTTTTCGGCCAATAGCAGACAGGAAGACTATTTGGGAAACCTGTTTGAAAACAACCATTATTTTTGTAATTCTGATGGTAGTGGCACAAAAAACTACATTTCACCTGTAGATAAAGTAATGTGAAATGATAAGCAGTATCTTTATGATGATGTCATATCACAACACAGCTAAAACATCATAGAAGTATCTTACTCTCTTTTTTTTTTGCTTATTTGTAAGAGCTACAGTTTTTGTGAGTATCTGAGAAACAGCTGGTGTGCTTCACAGTTTATCAAAGGGACAACAGCTATGCACACAGAGAACAATATTATCTCAACACCTTGAGTAATGCTTTCTATGTGTTAGCAGGAAGCAGAAAGAGAGGCTGGAACGCGGGATCCTCCTCTTATCTCTGTGAGTGTTGCCATATTATAACGGGCAGCTGTTGCATGAAGTTGCGCTCTGTTTCACACGACTTCCATTACTGCTAATCAGCATACACTTTGCTTTTCTGCCATTTTCTGTTCCTCCCTTTCTTTCTGTCTAATTCACGTCCCAAAAAAGAATCCCTTCATTAGCCAAGTGCTAAATCTAAACCCACAGTGTAAACACATAGTTGGATCCCTGTTAAAGCTTGCTTATAATCCACAGTCTGTCCATGTGATTGGTGGCGAGACAGCATTCCAGTAAGTCTTTACATTACTAATGAGTGTGCATCTCTGCCGGGTCCTCCAGAGGACAGGGGTCATTTAACACCAGCTTGACCCTGCTTGACCGACGGTATGAGATTATGGGTGGAATGCATATCAAAGGGTCCGCCGTCTGTGCGGAGCTTCCCCCAGGGTAAGTGTCAAAGCTCCGCCAGGAACCAGTCGGCGGATTCCTCGTAAAGCCTGAGTTTCCGTCTGAAGTTCGCTCAATATAGACAGCGACATTGACGATGCTTAAAGCAGTGAGAAATAGTGGAAGCTGATTGGTTGAATTGATTAAGTGTCATTATGTCCACGTAGTGTGGAGTAGTGAATGTCAACCTCTCTATCAACCCTAGGACTTTCTCTACTGTCTTGGGAAAGAGAGTGGAAAAAATAAGGGAAAAAAACGATGGACGAATCTGGGATTTATGATGCAAGGCCCCCCTCCTTTCTTGCGGTGTGTGCTGGGCTTTGTCATTGCTTGAGGGGGGACTAATTCTGTAATTGTACATATCCTGGTTACCCCGTTCCCAAAGCCAATAAAAACAAGCGCCATGCATCTAGGTTAGACCACACAGACTGTAGACATTTCCCAATAATTCCAGTTCAGAATACCCACATAACACAATCGTATACTTGGGCAAATTGAATGGCATTAAATTTAAAATGACACATGTATGTATTTATTTATTTATTTTTATTTATGTACTGCTAAGTCTTAGGGTTATAGACTTGAACAAACTCTAAACTTAAGCATTAAAAGTGAAATGCATTTTTTTGGACTTATTCTCTTCTTATCCCATTTAAATTATATTTTCCACAGACACCATACTTTTTGCTTATTCATTTTCCCTATATTCTCCCAACACTAAATTATGAAATTATTTCATATTTTTTTATGTAATTTAAAAGATTTTAATACAAAGCTTTTAAATCATTATTATTAATATTTTTTTATTCTTAATATTATTCTTATTATTATTTATTTATTTATTTTCTCCCTGTACTGGCAAAGCTGAATTTTCAGTATCATTACTCCAGTCTTCAGTGTGACATGATCCTTCAGAAATCATTCTAATATGCTGATTGATTGATTGATTGGTTTTCTTTTTCTTCCTTACTTTCCCCCCTCCAGGATTCTTTGTTGAACACAATATCTAAAGAATAGCATTTAATACATTCTTGGTGAATAAAAGTATCGATATATTAAAAAATAAATAAATAAATAAATAATTGATTTTTAAAAAAGAAAGAACACAAAAGAAGAAGAAGAAAAAAAGAAAATGACCCCTAACTTTTGCATGATCAAAAATTAGGTAAAGTGATCAGACTTGCTTTTTTTTTTTTTTTTGGCAGACAAAACGGGAGACTGTGTCATAGAGATTTGCTTTGATGTCAGCCGTCAAAATTTATTTTGTGGCTAACAGACCACCTTAGCACAAAGTTGGCAACACACTTGCATTGTGAAGGTGACATTTTAGCAATAAAAATGTCGTTTTTCCTGCTGTGCTGTAAATAAACGTACTGAAATATTGAGTGAAACTTTATCAGCAGTGCCTGCAGTCCTCTGCCCCTGTCAGTTAAGTATGTAAAGCTCTAATGTGGGATTTTTTTCTTCTCATGTCTGTTGGCGGGATGCTTTGCATGAACTGAAGCAGATTAAGAAGATACCAATGCCTGCAAGTAGAAACACCGATATCAAACTCAGCCCGCAGGCAACATTCTAAGCTTTATTGACATTTATGACAAATATGCAAAGGGGAGGGGAAGAAAAAAGAGAGAAAGTGAAGAAAGCAGATAAAACAGATGAGGGACGGGGCTGATATCCATCCGAAAAAAGTGGGGCCCTATAGACTGCGGTTGCCAAGATAAACTTCCCTCAACAAACAGGTTCTCGGGCTGATCTTTATTAGATTTAGGAGGGGCTTGTGAGCATGAAGACAGACGCTGTTGCTGTTCTGAAGGCTTAGAGCAAAGACAGAACCGACCACATGACAATGGGATGACTTCAGCGGAGAAATGCCACCGAGGTCAGAGAGAATGTGAGAGACGTGGAAATAAGATTGCACGCATATTTGGGTAATGGCTGATTTTCTAGCATGAATTTATTGCTTTGCTCAATAGGCGATCCAGCAACATATGTAGTCGTATTTCAGATTTTTTACTTGAATGTGAGGAATAGCTTTACAAAATGTAATGGGGAAATACTGTAATGGCATCATAATAATGGTATCATATGATTGTTTACGTATCATTTACACTGTACCACAATCTCAGCGTCCCCAAAAAAGTAATTAAAATGATACACGACATATGATAATAAATGGTATTTTATTGAATTTTATTTAAAACTGCTTTTCAATTCCAAAGGTCATGCATAAATGAGATGAAGACATGGAATCCAGCTCTACCAAAAAAGTCCACTTTTATCAGAATCAGAATCAGAATGAGCTTTATTGCCAGGTATGTTTACAAATACGAGGAATTTGTTTTCGTGACAGAAGCTTCCACAGTATAACAGAATGACAGTGACAGAACAAAAAAACACAGATAATAAAAAAATAAAAAAAAATAAAAAATAAAAAATAGAACAAGTAAAATAAGGAATAAAAAATATACAAATCGACACTGAAAACTGTAGAATGAATGCATGAAAACTGTAGAATGAATGCATGGTTTTAGTGCTTTAGACAAATTGTTCATTTAGTGTTATTGTGAGAGACAATGTGTGCTTAACAGATCTGAGAATGTGAGATATTTTGTGCAGTGACGTCTCTGTGTGGCTTTCCTTACCGCGGTAAGGAGTTGTATTGCCTCTGGGCTTGTGTGAAAGAGTCTCTGTCCTCTCTCTGTTTCTGCATTTGGTCCTCCACAGAAACTGAGTGCCGCCCCGTCGGTGTATAAGAACCCGTGTTGGCCTGAAATATGAAAATACATATTCCGGGTTACATGCAAATATGTGTAAAGCACTTTAAAATTGTGTGTTCGACAGAAAAGAAAAGTCATTCAGAGTAAATGGTGATCATTTTTATGAAATACAGGCTTTCCTGATCTTGTACAGAAAGTTTTTGCACTATATATTTGCACTGACCAAGTTAACAAGTGTACAAAATGTAACAAGCGCAGCATAATTTTATATTTCACGGTCAGGTGGGGGTTTTATAATTGTTGAGGGGCACTTGATCACTACTGATTCTTCCAACAGCGCAAGGTGCGCTAATGAGAAACGTGACTACCACACCCGAATGCAATTAGACTCGAGTGCACTTGTGCTACAAACAGCTGACATCGCAAAAATCACAAATGCTGCATTAATGCGGTGAGGCAAGTATTTAAACGATTCATAAGATGGTAAAAACAGAACAATTTTACATTACGGCTATGGTCTAACTGCAAACTGGAGAATCAGGCAATTTTATTCATGTCTGATGAAGGCTGAGCAAAATCCCCAATGAGACACATTTGAATAGCTAAAGGCCTGGTAAATTTCTTTCCTAGCAACATATTAAGCCAAAAACAGAGAAAAGGAAATGCTTTTATTGTGAGATAGAAGCAACAATGAAGTAATTATTCACAGTGAGATGTTTTAATGAGATTTGGACTGAGAGGAAACTGCAGCAAGCAAAATCAGCTCTCTTTGTGTGTGTGTGTGTGTGTGTGTGTGCGTCACTAGCCACATACACACTATAGATAAATACGGTTGTCGATCCTCTTCTGTACACACACACAATCTCCCTTTTAAAGTTCGACTGTTACCTAAAAATAAATTTAATCATCAAATACCAGTAGCAAAACACAATAAACTTACACAGTACTAATTGAATCACATTTTAATTAAATTGCTGTTCTACCCTGCATGTAGAGCCTGATAATTTAAAGTTTATCAGCAGTGCTTATAAAAACATGAAAGCATGACATTTTCATGAGATCTCCAGACAGCACATGGCACTTTCTCCCATTAATTACACAGAAATTATCTTTTTTTCCCCTCTTTTTCAGACGTAGAACAAATACAACAATACGAAGCCCACCTGAACAAACACAAAAAGTGGCCTTATAGAGAGACAGACATAATTATGAAAAATTGACCACATCAATTCTGAGCAAGAAAGCATGAAACAGAAAGCTTGCCGGTTCCAGACTTCCAAATCACTTATAATTGCAGCCTTTAATATCAAAGATGGACCAGGCCTCCGGTGCACAAGGGGGTCAGAGACACACACACATGCACCGTGTGCAACAATGTTTACTGCACTATACACTCAACCACTTCCAGAAACCTGCTCCGACATATGGAGTTAATTTTGGAACTGATGCACTTGACTGGGTGAGTGCAGGAAAAAAGAGATAAAGAAAGGACATAAATTAAAGAGGGAATGGAAAATGAGTGAGTCATTCTGCAAAAATGTATCATAATTAGCAAGTTGTGACAAGACTGAGGTGTCTGTGTCTCGGATTTAAACAGAGGACAAGAAAATAGACAGAAAATGTGAAAGTGACAGCAGCTATAGACAGACACATCATTCCTCTCATCCCTTAGAGATTTCACTTTTCTGCTCGAGTGCTTGTACACCAGGGAAGGTTTATCGATTGCATAGCAAGACTCAAGTAATGACTCAGAACACCTTAACAGCATAGCAACTTGCCAATAGGACACCCTAACAACAATATATCCGCATAGTAAAAACACTTAGAACACTGTAAAAATCACCTGCCAACAAACTGAAATCACATAGAACCCCCTAACGACAGTATAGCACCCTAACAACATTCAGAACACCTTAATAAGCTCCTTGCAACACCTTAAAGCCATCTAGAACACCCTAATGACAGTATAACACCCTATCAACATTCAGAACACCTTAATAAGCACCTAGCAACACCTTAGCAATCTCCTAGAAGACACTAGTAACTGCATGGCAACACAGTAAAACACCCAGAATACCCTAATGACCACTCAGCAACACTCCTGCAACTACCGCCCTACTGCAACACCCTAACGACAGCATAGCAATGCATTAACAACACTCTGAAAACCCTAATAGGACACAGTAACAACAGCAAAGCAACACACTAAAACACTTAGAACACTGTAATAATCACCTAGCAACACTTGAGCAACAGTTCAAAACACCTTAACAACAGCATAGAAAGACATTAATATCACATTAGCAACCACCTCAAAACCCCTAAAAACAGCATGCACTAACAACACCGAGAACACCCCCATAACTACAAAGCAACACCATAGCAACCATGGACATAGCAACCATTGTCACACCCTAAAAATACCATAGCATCACTCTAACAACACTCAGGGCATCCTAATAACTACCTAGGAAACCCTGGCCACATCCTAGCAACCACAATACTAATACTAAGAACACCTTCATAAATACATAGTGACACCCTAGCAACCATTTAAAACAACCTAACAACAGCACAGCAACATACTAACAACATTCAGAACACCCTAATATCCACATAAACACATTAGAAACCACTTAGAACACAATTACAACAGTACAGCACCCTAACAACATTCAGAACACCCTAATATCCACATAAACACATTAGAAACCACTTAGAACACAATTACAACAGTACAGCACCCTAACAACATTCAGAACACCCCAATAAGCACCTGGCAACACCTTAGAAACCACCTAGAACACCCTGATGACAGTATAGCACCCTAACAATATTCAGAACCTTTAGCACCAGTTTAGAAGTCATTATAAATCAACATGATATTTCAATCTTAAGTGTTTTTTGAGTCATAAATGGCCCTTGGGTTCTCTCAGACCCGAAACAGAACATGAAGGGTCGAATGTGTATTATGGTGACATCAGAGTTCAGCTCAATGTTCACAACAGATACACTCCCCACATCCCCTGTAGGTAATCTCAATTGTATCATCTAGTTCTAAATCGAGTGAACATGGAGGGATATATAACAGTAGGAAAGCAATCAACATATATTTCACAGGAGGGACACTAATCTCGAGCTGCAGTGGATTTATCTACCCACTGTAGGCTCATTATCATGTTGTGTACTTCTTTTTACCTACATGCAGCAATTGTTCCCTGAGCTTACAGTGTGTTCCTGCAGTGGTGATTTGGCATTGAGAGATAACCTTGTCTGACCATTGGCCACAGTGTGTCAACTGTACGAAGACAAGTGCTTTTGGATTACAAAATTGTACAAAAGATTTTTGTACAAAATACAAAATCTATACTATTTGGATTTGGAAATCACGGCTGGTTTCCTGTGTGGTTTAAAATCAAAGAAAACATGCTGGTTACTCTGAATCCTGAAATCAATGGCATTCTTTCGAGTCATGAAGGCTGCCTGAATGCTTGCCAGCACAGAGGTCCTTGTAAAAGAGGAGAAAAGCACGTAAATACGGGCCTAATGAAAGCATTTGTGCTTGTGTGTGATCCAGGCACCGACATAAAACTTCCGTCCCTTGTGTGGCCTCCGATCGTCTTAACAAAAGATTGATTTTTATTGGCTGAGACAGGACGGCAAGCCTCTGGAAGGAACGTGCTCTTTATGACAAACATCTGGAAAAGCCCCTTTGAAAGTCATAGCGAAAAATGCTGGGTGTGATATACAAGGGAGGCATAACAAGACACGTCTAATTGTCTGTTTACCGGTGGAGGTCTGTGACAGGTTCTGGCCACGGGGCGATTATCAGCAATCTGGGTTGGCAGCTTGTTGTTGCACATAAAAACCTGATGACGGGTTTCTTTCAGTCCTCGGGGGGATTGTGAACGCTGAGAACACACCTTAATCACTGTCCTAATGTGCGTCTCGTGCTGTCAGAACTCACGCTGGGTTTGAAGGATTATCTGGGGTGTACTTACCCATTTTTCTTCATAAAGAAATGAAAGGCGTCTGATGTAAAGTTGGGAGTTTTGCCACATAGCTACATATTTAAAAGGCAATCAATCATTGTTTCATGCCACTTTGATTATCTGTTGCACTTGAGGGACACTTCTGAATGGTGCATTGCACGGTATTTATAATCAAAGCTATAAATAACAACCGGCAGGCTTTGAAATGCTAAAGAAACCTCCAAAACATGCTGAGTACCTGTAGCTATAGGTGGTCACAAAAGTTAATTAGACAAGTGCTTTTCATAGGCATTTTATAACACTTAATGAAACTACTGTGCAAAATGCAATACTGTAGTGCAGTGATGGTATCAAATAATAATAGCACACCACGATACTGTATGATTATTATATATCATTGTATTTAAAAAATACTTAAAATAAAAATTCAGAATACCACAGTATTCTCATGGTATTTGTGAAGAAATCAAACGAACAAACAAATAAACACAGTATTACCACGGAATATGGAATAAACATGGTATTCAAACAACAAAAACAAAACAGTACAACTATGGTATCAACAAAATTATGGCAATATAGGAAATATTATTGCTACGATATTGCTATTGATCATATTGAAACAACATGGTACCATAAGAACCACTATGGGATTCCATCCCACTTTTGAATACAATTATATTTATATTACCATATAAAAGGTCCATGTCAACAAACCCATGGTATCTCAACAGAAAGTTTAAATGAACGAATGGATGAATTTAATGGTAATATCATAAGTTACCATGTCCAAAACACTATGGTAATTCAATGGTACTTTTATGAAAATGTCCCATTACTGATCTGATGTTGAACAAGTTTTCACTGTGACATCACATCACCCCAAAAAAATTCTAGATGCTCTCAGAGGAACTTTGTTTTGACAGATTTATAACGTCATTATATCAAGCTTATGGCAGCAGGATCAACAAGACTGTTATAGCTACAAACACCTCCCTTGCGCTCTCTTACCCTGCTTAACCATCATTCTCTCAACCTGCTGCTACGACTGACGGCTGTATATTTCTACAAGTCAACAGGACCACAGCGCTCGTGGGCCCACTCAGACCCTAAATCAATGTCAAGCCTGTTTGTATTCGCTTTGATTGAGTGTGTGTGATTCTAATGCAATCCAGGGATAAAAAACCTGGACCACCTGATTCCTTGGGATGTGAAAACTTAGCGTTACACTGTTTTTAGCAGAACTGTAACCACCATAGACATTGAAGAGGACTTGAATACTTGGTCACATCCTTAACACATACCTCTCCACTATTCTTTGACAAGCTTTTAGGGCTGTAATTAGCATTTATTGGTTGTGTCGATTGCATAGTGGCCCACAGACCAGCATGCCATACAGTACACAAAACCTTGGCCGGAGCAATTTTAGCATGATTTTTCCCACCTTTTCAAAGCTGGAGGGAGTTTTCACACACACACACACACAAACTACCACCAGCATGTGCCTGTATGTCAACATCCCCTTGACACAACTTACGGCAACAGTGCTGACTACATGTAGAAAAATGTCATGCTTGACATCTAAACCGCAGTCTTCAGGAAATTCGCCCTTCTTATAATACCCTGAAAGACTCAAAGGCATTCCCTGGGTCCCACCTAACATGTTTTGTTATTTGAAACCAGTCCTGTTCAAACTGAGAAGCTGACCCGTCAGCCGATAATACAGTAGACTTGAGACACTTGAGGGAGGGTTGCGTATTCTATTACGGGAAATGTCTCTAGTCTTTAAACAATGTAAACTATCACAAACAATTAGGTGCCTTCTAGCTTGACTCCTCTGGTTCGGCGCTGTGCAAACAACAGGGCTTTTACTTCCTGTACTAGAAGTAAAAGTCTGGGCTGTAAATCTCAAGTGAGCGTTTGTGACACCATTGTGACACCATTAGGTACCAAGAGAAGTTTTGATTCATTCATACTGCAAACAGACTAGCTAAAGCTATGTCAAATACAAGCTAGTGCATGTCTATAAAGTCCAAGTATAAAAGCCGTTGCTTAGGAGACCACGAGTAGTCCTGAAGTGAAACGCTCACTTGAGATTTACCTACTGTCATAACTGGGCTAAAATGAACTGTCATTAAATATATTTATTTATTAAATATCTTTCATTAGCAGTGATTAAAAACCCATACAGATCCGACTCACTTCTAGAGACTTGAGAGTGGGCACTTTTGATTTGAGCCAGTAAACAACCACCTAGCAACATCTTAGCAACCATCTAGCAAACCCCCCCAGCACATCTTCAAAATCACTCATAACACCCTAGCAAAACCCCAGCACACCTTTGACATTATCCATTATCCAAGCAACAACCTACCTAGCAACCACTCAGAATACCCAACCAACCACTCAGAATACCCTAACAACCACCCAGAAAACCCTAACAACCAATCAGAATACCCTAACAACCACCCAGAAAACCCTAGCAACAACCTATCAAAAACCCACTACATCCCTACAATCACCCAGAACACCCAAGCAACCTACCTAGCAACATCCTAGTAACCACTCAAAATTATCTTGCACCCACTAAGAAAACCCTAGCAACAACCTATTGAACAGCCACTACACCCTTGCAATCACCCAATCAACACCCTTCCTAGCAACCACCCAGAATACCCTAGCAACACCCTAGCAGCCTCCTAGCAAACACCAAATACAACTTTGTATCCAAGCGTTCAACAAGAACACCCCAACCACGTAACAATATTCTAGCATACATTCCATGTAACAACATTCTTCAACCACCCAGAACAACTAGCAACATCTCAGCAACAATTCAGAATGCCATAGCAACTGCATAACAACGCCCTGGCAACAAACCACAAGACCCCACCAGTGTAACAGCAAGGACAAGCACCACTCACATAGAAAATGTAAAGTTCTAGATATCTGCAGTTCCATTTGTTTTTTTTTGTGTGTTTTTCTTTGTTTTTTTTGCTTTGCTGCTCTCTGCACTGATCTGAGTGAAACAGAACATTAATGCATTAACTGAATTTAACACATTCTAATCTCTGTAGAGCTATTCAAGACCTAAGAGGAAAATGGAGACCAAATATGTGTCAGGGAAGACGGGGTCAGAGAGCTGACCTCTAATTTAGGAAATGGTTCTATTCCTCGAGGTGATTAGCCTGTCATCTTTTAAAATCCCCCTCCATACCCTTAACAGGAAGTCATAGGACAGGCCGCCATGTCTGGCTCAGACCATTACAGAGTAAAGATACACAGCGATTTGAACTTTGACCCCTTGCAACTTCTTTCCCAGCCTCTTGAGCTCTGTATATTATTTTAACTTGCTGATAAAGATAAAATAACGGCTGGCCTCTAACCTCGGACATTAAAATGAAGCACTGACTTTCAAGGACAAAATGTTAAAACACATTCACCTCTGTGCAGACCTAACAAATATAAGCAAGGTTGGGGGCAAATAAACTGTGAGATGCATTTGTGAAACAAGTCCCCCACCTCACAGAACAAACACCATTCATGCGTTATCTGAGATCCCTGACAATATCTCATTATAATACATGTTGCCCTTTGCCCTGAACACCAAACACCAGGCTGATTTAAAAGCTGTGACTCATTTGGAAGAGTTTACATTTGTCAGCCACATACGTCATTGACACCGCCTCATTTCAGAAAAGCAACCATTACATTCCAAAGTAAGAAAGAAATTACAGTACACCTAGGTTTTATAATGGTTACTGAAATGAGACACCCTCGATGATGTATGCAGCCGACAAATGTGACCTCCGGAGGGTGCAGCCTTCGTAATGAGATAAAGCTAAAGTGTTACTTTTGCAGAGGTGCATGCAGGGAAGCTTTAAGTGTCAGGGTAAGGGTGCACATGCTAAGCCGAGGTTTACCCTGTAGTCTTGCACACTCACCCTCTGTTGTTGTTGAAAGCTGTAGGATCGACGGCGGTCATCAGGTTCCTCCTCCTGCTTGGCATGCTGGAACTCTTGCCGTAGACATTGTATTCGGTCATGGTTGCTGGGTGCCAGTCGGCTGCTATAGAGGAGAGAGGAAAAAACAACAACAATCATATATCGTCATTTATGGCGTCACCAGCGGTCCCAACATCAACCTGAGAACAACGAAGGACAGATGTCACACTACAGATGATAGCACTTGAATAAAACAAACAAGACGGTACAGTACAGCGCGAATCCTTATAGAAATACAGCTTGTTTCCTGAATCAATAGCATGAGCACCATTTGAGCCCATGTGACCCTATCCATTTTGCTAAATTACACGTACGGACACAGTCCATTACTTTTTCCAGCGCCCGCCGGCATCTCGAGAACATGCAATGGACCAAACGTTTCCCTGAAGGACTCCCCAGTGAACCATGGCCAATGATACATGTCCCTCTTACGACAGAGAGTCAAAGGCCCACATCTCAGCCTTATTCTTAGAGAACTCAGAGAGACTCATTTGCATTCCTTTCATTAAGAGCTGGGGAAAGTGACCGTCAATAGGAATCAATATGCCTCGTCCCGCTAATAAAGCCCCACTTTTTATCTACTCCACCACACGGGCTGCTGGTGACAAACCCCTCATTATGATACAACATCCTGTCTGATAATATGGCTCATTTATACAGAGAGAGAGTGAGAGAGCGAAGGAGAACTGAGAAAGGAAATCCTCAAAAAATGGGTGAAAAAAACTAATTGAGAACACAAAAAGGTAAAACATTAAGCTTGCAAAAATATGGAGCACCAAGAGAAAAACAAAACAAAACAAAGTACAGCATACGGCTCAGCAATTCAGCATACGGATGAATTACAGAGATGTCATCTCTGTGGAGAGCTGATACAGGAGGCTAAGCCTCCATTGATGTTGATAGCTTCCTTAAGATGAGATGTCTGGTCTAAATGTGCTCATAATTGTAGATCGCAAGCAGGAATAGCCCAGTGACTGAAATGGCCACTCCGACACATTGCCAATCACCCTTCATTAAAACTGCCGCTAAATGGCCTACCATAAAAACCAAATGGAGCTGAATGAGAATTGTATGAGTGGTGATGTCTGAACATCCTTGTTCTGTTGTTCCATGCAGCCATTAGAATCAATTGTATTTGCTTTACTTCATTTAACGCCCCACTCCTATATTAATATGTGGTGGTGGAAGAGCTTGAAGGCCATCAAATGCATTTGCAAGGCGGAGAAAATGGAAGTGTTGCAAATTAAGCGAATCATTGAGCCGTATGCCGTGTGCATTTGGTGTTGCAAATACAGGCAAGTAAAGTACTCGCTTTTTCAAGGACCAAATCTTATATGTGTCCATTAAAATAGTGTACTCACCATTACCAAGTATAATAATCCACGAAAACATGCACAGGAAAGCATTTCAAATCCATTTTTAAAAGTGAGATGCTATTAATATGAGAGTTTTGAGGCTAAAAGTAAGAGTTTTTTTTTTTTTAAATGCCATTTGATACCTTATCATAAAATGTGCAAAGTGTATCATCTTCATCCACTGACATTTACTGACATTTTAACAAAAGTAGAATCTTGGGAAGAAAAAAAAAAAAGCCGTTCTCAAAGAAACGTCAAGCGGCTGAAGGATGAATGAAGCTAAGGACAATAAAGTTGTGAGACATGAAATCTCTGCCGTGTTGCATATTTCAAGTAGTATATCAGTGTTTGTGAAGAGATTAAAATGCAGGAATCGTAGACATGTGTCATAGACAAAGTTTGTAGACTGCTGATGACCACTCTCAGCTGCATCTTCCTCACGATGCAGTCAAAGCCTGAGAAAAATAAACAAATCACTCGGCCATTACCGCACATCTGTGAGGGGAAATTAATTTGGCCAATAGCTCCTGTAAACGTGTGATTACACATTAGCATCGGGTGGCAATGCGCTTGGTGTCTATGCTTGCGGCAAGAGGAACGCTAACAAGCTTTGAGCAGTACAGAGGAACCTGGCAAACAAAGCCTTGGTAGAAAGAACAATAGTCAGGATATCTGCAAATAAATATGCTCTGGTCTTATTCATGACATTGTTTTTCATTAGGAAACCTAATTCTGATGTAAACTATCTCCATGAGCATGGCTAGCATCAAATAGTTAGCCATATGATTGGATTATAGCTTGTTTTTCAGGAGACGGTCATGACACTAAACCATCATTCTACACTCCTATTAAAGCCTGTGTTGTATCTATTCCCTTCTTTATCCATTAGGAGAAGAACAGGGAATGTACCATTAGCTTAATCCTCCTGCCTAGAAACAGCCTTCCTCTGAATCCTCTGACTCCAAAACAAACAGCAGAGATTTGGTCATAAATGCCTAAGCGAGACACTGGAAAGGTTAAAGCGACCATAAGCTGAGTCACTCAGTTCGGTAACCAGCTGAGGCTTGTGATCAACCCATTAAACAAACCAAATGACCAACCTCCAATGATGTTCCATTGTGGTTAAAGAAGACAATTTAGAAAATGAAAAGTGAACTTTAGAACCACAGATGTGGACAAGACCGCTATGAGTCATATGGACAACAGGAACTTACAAGATTGGCAAACAATTAAAACATGAAATTGTTGTAGAGGAACTAGAACCATAAGATGAACAAGATCAAGGCGCTCTACTCATGAAATGAGGTTCAAAAGACATGCTGCTATTAGATGAACTGGAGAACTCGAACAATTTGAACAGACCACATCAGCAGCAGTTCAATTACAATCAGTCTCTTTGGATGATCTGGTATGAAATCCCTGCAAAAGTGGCACTGAAAAATTAGCAGTTGGAATCGTAAAAAAGGGCACCCATGTGCGTTAAGTGCTGGTGGCCGCCCATCTCATTTACTCTCCCTATTCAATCCTCCCTTACAAAAGAAGACAAATCTTTCTATCTGTTCGGTGGAGTCCATGAACACTCCAACACCACTGCACATGATTAGTCTCAGCGTATGCTTGACATCAGGTGTTGCGTGGGTTATAAATACCTCCAGGCATGCATCAACGTCAGCCATGGGGCCCGGCTAAACAAGACCTCATGAAGACCTGCAGCAATTTGCGTCAATAAAGCGGCGGCAATTAGAACAAATGCACCCGTAAGCCAAACAATGGAGGTGGGTGAGGAGGCGGTAGAGTATGAGGGGAGGATGATGAGGGATCGCTTTCCCCAGCCTCTTGTTTATGCATCAGATTAAAGGTCAGGCGGTATGCAACTTAAAGCCAGCTTAGAGGACGGGCCCATGTTGTTTGAGAGATAGCGCTCAGTCAAGCCTCTCCTCCTGGAGACATCTTCATGTTTATTTTCATCTCTCCTCCGTAAAGAGAGATTCAAGGGGGAAACAGTCTGACAGTAAAGCAATTAAAGGCAGAGGTAGATAAAATATCCATATGCCACAGCATTTAACAAGCCAGCAGTTTCATTCTCCCAATACAATGAGACTCATTCGATATCTGTCTGTGTTCTCTGACTGAAAGGTCATTTTGCGCTTGTCCGCACCCTGTTTGCTCGGCCTTTCCCCTTCCTTTTCTCCTTCGTTGTATTCATTTCGTTGTCTACGCACACCCTTTCCCGCTCATGACTCAATATGCTGAATAACACCTTTTGCCTGTTTACTTTACAGCCCCAGAAAGCAATTTCTCTGAAGACAGAAGGTTATTGTTGCAGATTAAACTCTCTGAATCGAGTGTGATGCATGGGTAGCACTGACATCAGAGGCGTCTGACTAAACAGGGCTCCTCACCTGTTCTTGCTCAGAGAAAACTCGATGTGGCAGTACCAAGATTATGCCTAGTTAAAACCATAACGGAAGGAGGGAAGAAAAGAAACCAAAGAGGCAGAACCCCACTGGGAGACATCAAGTGAAGCGATCCAAGTTATCACCATGTGCTTTATGGATACAGTGCATGTAGATTGGCAGAGTGATTTGGTCTAGAAGTAGAATGCTATGGGAATGGGAAAGATGAACGGATCCAATATTAAGTCTGAAGTTGTAAATCTTTTGCTTATAAACTCTGCCGAGAAGCATCTGGGACGGTGATGTATGACTGCGCTCGTTTCTTTATGTTTTTGTCTTGTCTTTGAGTTGGTCATGATGCACTGAAAAATCCAGGAAAAAATCATTCACTCACCCTTATAAAATTCCAAACCAGTATGACAATCATTCTTCTGTGGATTTTTTTTAATAAAATAAAAGTCAATGGGGTCCCTTGTTGTTGAGAAACTCGTACAGGATTAGAACAACAGCAGGGTGAATAAATGATGACAGAATTTTACTTTCTCAGGTAAACTTTCCCTTTAAGTGGCTAAATAGTTTTGACATAGTTTGTACATGTTTTTAGCTGGTTTTAGCTTTTAGCAGGTCAACCGGATTTCTAACTGGTCCGAGCTGGTCCTTTATTGTCATTAACTGGTCTCTATGGTTGATCAAATGGAATACCAGCTAGTAGAACCATCAATTAACCATGATTAACAAATTAGTTACCATGTTTCAAAATGCTTGACACCTCTTTTTTTCCCCATCAAGGATCTCTGGTTTTGTCCCCTATAGTGTACTTGTGGTTTTGTGTCTGTCAGGTCTGTGAGAATGTAACATGTCCCATTTGACATTTACGTTGGATAACAGTGCCAAAGGCCTTAGGGCGACATTTGGGACAGGGTCTACGTGTCAGCATCTGGATTTAGAGATGATGCAGCCATTCTACTTTTTTCAGTGATAAATTCAACTTTACATATTTTCAACAAAACACAGAGAGAGAGAGAGAGAGGAATACGCATTGGTGATTCCGAGTCTCTGCTGAATACCCAATTCCTTTTATCAGATTGATATTCTGTCAGACTATCTAGCTTCGTTCCATGTCCTCCAAATCTTCATAGGAGATATGGGAGATGAAAAGAGGGGTTTGCTGGTGCCCTCAGTCATATTGCATCAACTCAAAGCTTAACTCATATTAATTCTATACGCCTGTGGACTCAATTCCCTTCAAAGACTGTCATATCTATTGGCTCCCTTCATAGATCTGTACAGACAGCATGGGCAGATTAAATCAG